TTTTTTTGTATCCATCTCCTGACTTGTGCCTGTCCACAACTTTATCCCGGAGATCTTTTGACAGTGTCTTACCACCCATAGTTGATTGTTTGCTTCAGTTGCACTACCAAGGACTGAAATGCTCCAGGAAAGCTCTTTTCATGCTGAGCTAATCATAATGACCACAGCTGATCACAGTTGAAAGATGAATGGCTTTGTGTGCCATTGAGAAGGTGATTAGCTGCACTTGACATAGTTTACAAGTCATTTTTTAGGATGAGGGTGATCCTTTTTCCAACTCAGTGATTCTGTTTTTTTATTTTCATTTTTCTGACATGCTGGTGTTATATCTTTCACTTGGATGTCATAAGTTGCACTGAGTAAATACATCTGGATAAAACAAAAACTGTCCATCTTTATTTCAGACTGCAAAGCAACAAAATGTGATTATTTTAAAGGGAGGTGATTCTATTCTATACCCACTGTGTGTGTGTGTGTGTGTTTGTGTGTGCACACAAAACAGTTCTTTCTGGTCCTCTAATCTGATTGGCTGAGAGGAGTGCAATATTCTAGTGATAACAGAGCTCCAATCATTTCACCATTTGTATCACTCCGCTTTCGGTATTTCTCACAGCAAGTGTAATGGCGGACAACCAAATCCACTATAATTTTTATAAATAATACTGTTTTTGTGTCATGGAATATGCTTTTAAGAGTTTTTAGGTGAGAATGTACTTGTTTAGACTTCAAATATGCGGTTTGTTATTAAAGATAACGTCTATTTGAAAATTTGCTTCGATGTTTTGGGAGACGTGAGCTCCAGGGCGTCATTTACATTTAGTCATTTAGCAGACGCTTTTATCCAAAGCGACTTACAAATGAGGACAATAAAAGCAGTCAAAACTAACAAAAGAGCAACAATGACCTGATCTCAAGATTAATACCACACTCCGAGAGCTCGTAGATCACTATAAAGTAAAAAGTGCTGTGAAAAATCTGGAGGACTATATATGTCAGAAACACGAGAGACCTCTGGAGCTGTTCTGTAGAGATGATCAGACGTGTGTGTGTCTGATGTGTGCTGTGAAAGAACACAAGACCCACAACACTGTTTCTTTAGAAGAGGAGAGTGAAGAGAAGAAGGTAGAAGTTATTAACAAAACTGATTTTAAAGGAATTATGTCATGTGGAAATAAATTTGGATCCTGATCCTATCAAATAAAATAATTAATTATAAAAACATATTGTACATTTCCTCAGAGGACAGTAAATCTCCTTTATGATAAATATGTCTGTTTTGTTCTCTGTCTATAGACTCAACTGATGAAGACACAGAAAGACGTGCAGCAGATGATTCAGCACAGAATCAAGAAGATTCAAGACATCAAACATTCAGCAGAAGTCAGAAAAGTGAGATCAAAATTATGTAATAAAATTTAATTCAATGTTTATTGTAGATCTTTTAGTTCAGGGGACTTCACTGTTTGTATCACTCCGCTTGCCTTTGTTTGTTCAGACAGTCGGTCTGTGTATTAGTGGTGGGGATTTTACAGTGACTCTTTCTGCAGACAAGTGACTTGTGAGTTAGTCACTGATTTTGATTCATTCTTTTAACCGACTCATTCAAAAACACCTATTCAGTCAGGAACGAACAGGATTTTTTTATTTTCAGAATTGCAAATGTTTAACTTGCAATTCCGAGTTAATAACTCACAATTCTGAAAAGACAAATCCAAATTATGAGATATAAACTCAGAATTGTGAAAAAAACTAAAATCCAAATTATGAGATGAAAAACCCTACTTAGTAAGGTACACTCTAAAAAATGCTGGGTTGTTTCAACCCAACTTTGGGTCAAATTTGGACTAACCCAACCGTTGGGTTAAATTTTTACATTAAATTTTTAACCCAAAAGTTGGGTTAGTCCAAATTTGACCCAAAGTTGGGTTGAAATAACCCAGCATTTTTTAGAGTGTAATATCACTTCTCCTCAACAAGACACATGATTTGAAGAAACTTTTAGTGTAAACGGTGCAGGATGAAGTTTAATATTTTGGTTGAGGATTTTGAAAAACCCTAAAAACACTGAAGTATGAGCAATAGTAACAATGATTATTGCCTTAGAGATTTTATACTGAAGTGCTGGAGATGATTGAGGAGCAGCAGAAAGCAGCAGAAAAAGAGGAGCAAGAGCTCATTGAAGAGCTGGAGCAGGAGATCACTGAGCTAAAGATTAGAAACACTGAGCTGGAGCAGCTCTCACACACTGAAGATCACCTCCACCTCCTACAGGTCAGTGAACATCTCTCTGATCAGTGATAATGCAGTATATGACACCATAACACTCCCCATGCTGAAGGATTTCTCCTCTCTCCTGCTGTAGAGTTACTCATCCCTGTGCAGCCCTGAAAACACCAGGAACTGCTCTGAGATCAGTGTGAAGACTCATGAGAGTCTGGAGACTCTGAGCAGAGCTCTGACTAAACTGCAGGACACTCTAAACAGCAAACTCATTCAAACTAGTATGCCAACACTTACTTTGATCAGATAAAACATAATGTTGTACAATTTTTTTAATATAACCTTAAAGCTGGTCTATAATTCCACATATTAAAACATCTCAAAGGTGTCATGATATTTTATTGTCACGTGTCTCTACAGAGCTGAAGTGGATGCAGCAGTATGCAGGTACAGTGTGCTGTCTGTGATACACTAGATTACATGCATATACTCACAGCTTCATTAATGCACTAGTCTGATTAAAAACATCGTCATGAAATATCTGTATTGTGAAGTTGTGATTCATATTCTCTATTTCTCAGTGGATGTGACTCTGGATCCTGATACAGCTCACCCAAACCTCACTCTGTCTGCTGATGGAAAACAAGTGAGACATGGAGACACTGAGCAGAAACTACCAGACAAACCAGGGAGATTTGATTTCCTTGTAAGTGTCCTGGGAAAGGTGGGATTCTCCTCAGGGAGATTTTATTTTGAGGTGCAGGTGAAGGGAAAGACTAACTGGAACTTAGGAGTGGCCAGAGAATCTATGAACAGGAAAGGAGATATCAAACTGATTCCCAGTGATGGATACTGGACTGTGGTTCTGAGGAATGGGAATGAATATTGGGCCTATGCTCATACTGACGTCTCTCTGTCTCTGAGAGTGAAGCCGCAGCAGCCCGGTGTGTTTGTGGATTATGAGGAGGGTCTGGTCTCCTTTTATGATGTGGAGTCCAGCTCTCATATCTACTCTTTCACTGGTCAGTCTTTCACTGGGAAACTCTATCCATATTTTAGCCCATGCCTTAACAATAGAGGTACAAACTCAATCCCACTGATCATCACACCTGTCAGTTACAATAAATGAATGTACACCCCTAATATGTTTTAGAGTGTCCCATAAAACTTTGTTTTTTTTTTTAAATAAAAAATATTCAGGTAATTTTTCTCCTCTCATATATTATAAAAATAAAATAATAATTGATTGTAAAATGTACTGTAGAAGCTGCTCTGTTTATAGCTGTTTACGTAATTACAGCATTTGAATAAAGACATGAATTCCTATGAATTGTTGTGTTGTGTCATGTCTGTGTTTTAAACCAGTGCAGGGTCAGCTGACTGTCTGGGTCATGTTTAATCAAGATGTTTTTGATTGTGATTCTTACATTTCAAGTTTACAGTCACAGGTCAGGGTCATGGGTTTGATTCCAAGCAATGCAAGAATTGATTAAACTTATACTTTAAACGCAATGTAAGTTGCTTTGGATAAAAGCAATTAGCCAAATACGTAAATCCGAAAAACCTAGATTTTCACCAACAGTTTTTAGTAAATGATTCTAATTTAATTTCATAATGTTTATTTATACAGGAATACAAAAAACTGTTAAAAAAATAAAGACAATGTTCTTGGCACATTCAGACTGATTTTCTATTACTTGTCCCATAGAATAATAAGTAAAGAAAAACAAAGGAAGAAAAAAAATTAGAATAAAATAGAATGGCTTTGTGAAGCGAGTTAAGTTTTTTTATTGAGTGATTTGGAGCGCATATATGACGTATGGATAAAACTTCAACTCCCAGAAGACCACGCGGCGGAATGGTAGGAATGAGCGCTTCCGGGTCATCCTCAGATTCAGATTCCGTGTGTTGTTGAGGCTCGAGTTTGCAGTTTCTCGCTCTCGTCTTTCCTCTGTAAATGTCGCAGTGATGTAAATAAGGAGAATATTTGAGACTCTCCATGACATGCTCTACCGGCCTCCGTCCCGCGGGATTCGACGTGAAGACTGAGGCGTGAACGTCTGTGAGTCTGATCATAAATCTGATCATAAACACTGTCATCTGCGTGACATCTCTCTGTGTACAATCACTTCATACCGATATCACACATGCAAAAAAGAGATTTATCATATGATATTATTATACACTTTTCATTAGAACTTTTCTGTACCATTTCCATTTTACGCCATAACTGTACTGCAATACACATGGTATTATCATGGTGGTAGTGTCTAAAACAGTAATACCATGATAATATGATACATTGTAATATGATGTATGATTAATTGATATATGTATAGAAAGATCTATAGATCGATACTGCAGGATGTATATGCAGGATATATTTGTGTGTGTGTGTGTATATATATATATATATATATATATGTATATGTGTGTGTAGTGTAATGTTATATATATATTTTATTTCTATATGATATGTGATATCTTATTTTCCAAATATGTTTGATGTGCAAGTTTATATTTATATGACATTTTTAAGATTTGATTGATATCCATTTTAAATACTCTTTGCAAAAGAGTTTTTTAATTACTTTTTTAAAATAATTACTACACCAAAAAACTACAACATGGTAATTTATGCCTGTGGATGCATTTCTGTAAATTGAATAATTTATGCATATATTTGTACATATTTGAGGTAGTACTAAATTTTAAAAAAGCAATAATATTTATAATCCCATTCTTCTTCTTCTTTTTAAATTTACATTTACATTTAGTCATTTAGCAGACGCTTTTATCCAAAGCGACTTACAAATGAGGACAACGGAAGCAATCAAAACTAACAAAAGAGCAATGATATGCAAGTGCTGTAACAAGTCTCAGTTAGCATTTTTTTTTGTTATATAATAAATAAAAAGAAAACAGATAGAATAGAAAAATAATAGAGCAAGCTAGTGTTAGAGGCCTTTTTTACTTTTGTTAATTGTATAATAAATAAAAAGAAAACATAGAATACAAAAAGATTAGAGAAGCTAGTTTTTTTTTTAAAGAAAACAAGCAGCTGGTAAATAAATAGAGTACAAGTCTAAAAGGGGCACGTTTTTTTTTTTTAAAAGAATAGAATTGGAATAGAGAGTGCTAGAGTTAGAGGGTCAAATAGAGATGGAAGAGATGTGTTTTTAGCCGATTCTTGAAGATGGGATTGAGTTGGGCAGGTCATTCCACCAGGAGGGGACAGTTAATTTAAAAGTC